GAGTAACTCCTCCCTGGGGAAGCCCCCACTTTGTGCTTGTCTGAAAAGGCAGGACAATAACACCCCACCTGAATGCAGGCGAGGCCGTGCTCAAGATCCACTCCCAGGACCTGAACGGGGTCCTGTGGGAATAGTTTACCAACACCAACCACATCACCCACTGCCTAGCACCGTCCCCCACCAAGCCCTAAGGGTAAGTGGCAAGACAGCCAGTGGGTTGTTGCCAAGACAATAAACTATGGATCACACTGTGACTGTTTTTCTACAAGTTAAGCACAGAAAGAGAAATGGGGTCCGACTGAGCCAATGTTCAGACAGAGGATGTTCTTAATAATTTTAGATACATGTTGAAGTCCAAAAATAGATTTTTCCCCCAAAGCCAAGCTCAGATGCACGAGCTTTTCTTGGGAGTATTTTTATAGAACTAGAAGTCTCTCTTACAACCCCTGGAACATGACAATGAACAAAGGAGAAAGGAGGAATAACTTTACCACTTTCTCTTTTTAACAGAGGAGACTATTGAGAACTCCTTGGTCCCAGCAGGAAGCCAGTTCTCCTCCCCCTCCCCCCACCTCTGAACTCTGTTTCCCAGAGTGGGTGGCTTCTCTTGTGGCCCACCTCAGACTCCGAGAGACATCAGCACTCACACCAACATGGCTCATTATGGTGGACAAAGCACGTTTGTTGGCTTGGTCTCCATAAGTCCTGTGAAACCAATGTTAAAATCTCAATTTCATAGATGGGGATTTAAAGGACACGCCCAAGGTCACAGAGCTGCTAGGTTCTAGAGTGGGCCCCGTATCTTCAGACTCCTCGTTCACATTACTCTTTGGCGCATACAATGTATCCAAATGTGTTTGAGGGTAGGGAAGGAACCAGGAGTCACAGTGGTCATTTTTAATCTCCATCTAAAACCCAGCTAAATTGGGGTGCCTGGGTGGCTCAGTCAGTTAAGCGTCCAACTCTTGATGTCAGCTCAGGTCATGAGCTCAGGGTCGTGAGATCGAGCCCCACATCGGGCTCCACTCTCCATGTGGCGTCTGCTTGAGTTTCTCTCCCTCTCCCTCTGCCCCTCCCCTCTCTCGTGCGCTCTCTCTCTAAAATAAATAAATAAAGTATTTTCTTAAAAAAATAGTTAAAACCCAGCTAAAATAATAAGGAATGTTTTACCCAGGAAAGAAAAGATTTATACTGGGGTTGTAACCGTTTCCATTATCGTCAAGTTCTCTCTCCCTCCTTGTCGTCACACCTTTTGACACACAGCTTTGCAGCTCCTCACGGGAAAGGAGCAGGATACACTTTCCCACGCCTGAACTCTGTGACATATCGTGGCCAATGTTATGAGGTGAAAGTTGCCAGCGTCCTGCTTCGAAGACTAGACTCACAAGCCTAGAATGCCACTTGCTCTCTGGTTGCTGGGAAGAGCATGCCTGGGCTAGCCTGCTGGTCCCAAGGGGAGCGTGGGAGATTCGGGGAGCAGAGCCACCCCCGCTGTGAGGTGCTCTCAAGAGCAGTTGAGAGCAGAGCCCCCAGCCCACCTTGGCAAAGACTCCCTCACAGTTAAACGGGTGCAGGCTGCCTGTGGGCGGTATGGGCAATAGCTCACTCTCTGGAAGGACTGGGCCGGGGGCAGGGGGGGGCGCCTCTCAGGGATGCTGTCACAGAATGCCTCCACTGGGGAAGAGGTTGGACCATACCAGTAGTTCCAGACTTTGGGATTTTAGGTATGAAGCAAAGTTACTCTCAAGAGTTTAGAAACCAACATGGGGCTGCTAGCTTTTTGCTTTTCTGAGCAAAGGCAATATATAAAAATAACTACCACTTACTATCACCACCAATTCATAAAAGATAGAACATTTTCATACTACAATGGAGGAAAGGAGATCATCTTAGAATACGACACAGTCCTTTCCAAGCAAAGACGGTGGGCCACCCTCCGTCCATGAGCCTTTTTCTTTTCATTCTGTCACATATCAATAAAAACTTTGTCACTAAATAGCTCCAGTCTGGGGATTAGCAACTTTCCCGCATGCTTTATGATAGAACTGTCAAGAGAACATGAAATCAGTTACATAAATTATGAGACTTAAATCACGGTTCTGTTTGTTCCGTGACAATATAAAAAGTTTATTTTTTTCATCAGGATAGAAAATAAAGCTAAGAGATGAATTTGAGCACCCCTGTCGTGCCTTCTCCGCCAGCTGCAGCAAGCACTGCGGAGCCCCCAGGGGCCCCAGCCCCACCCCCTCCTCCGCAGAACTTTGGAGCTGCACTACGCAGGCGCCTAAGATGCTCCTGATGTCCTTCTGTGCTTCTAATGGATGAATGAAAAGGAAAGCAGCAATATTCTCAGGGCTACATAACTGGGAGCGAAGTGAGAAGCAGGGAATCCCCCAGGACCAGCTTGGGGGCTGTGTGCCTCAGTCACCTGTGAATGTTGACTCTTTTCTTTCTGGGCCATCAGGAGCCTCTCCATCCTACATACCCTACAGATATAGATACCTGGAGAAGGGGGCAGGCTACAAGTGGACAGCTCCCACTGAAACTCACTCATCAGGCCCTCAGGAGACCCACACACCTACGAGACCTACCAGGGCCCAGTGTGGAGAAGCGACGGCTATTCTCTGGGACTGGGAAGACTGGATCTAATCTGGCACTTGATTCCCACCTTCACCCATTCTTTAGGCATTCAGAGAAAATGAACAAGGCCTTAGTTTCACAGGCTCACGTTCAGGTAGGAGAACAGACAAAAGCAAATAACAACATAAATACCAATCGGGTGAGCACTCTTAAAGAGATGAGCATAGTGAGTTGAGAGAAACTGGCAAAGGCTTCTTTAGGTGAGGATTCAGGAAAGGCCTCTCTCAGAAGGGGATATTTGAGATGAGAAATAAGAATGCATCGTCCATGCAAAAAGCTAGGAAAAGAGCAATACCAGGCAGATTAAAAGCAGGTGCAGAGGGCCTGGGGTAGAAAAGAAAACGGCTTGTTTGAGGAAGAGGGAAAAAGCCAGAGTTGTAGAAGCAAGGTGGACAAAGAGAGAATTGTGGTATGAGGCTGAAGCAGGAAGCTGGACCCATCATCGGGGGCCTTGCAGGCCCCAGCATGGAGTTTGAAATTCATTGCAAATATAAAGGTATTAAGCAAGGGAGTGACAGGATCTGATTTATATTTAAAATATTCGCAGGATGCTATGTGAAGGATAAATTGTAGAGGGGCCAGAGTGAAACAGGCAAACCTGTGAAGACATTCCTGCATGAACTGGGTGGTGCCTCTGTGACCTTTATGACCTTGGACAGTCCCTGAAAAATGCTACATTTCAGTCATCCCACCTGTAGTATGGCTACCACCTACACTCAATAGTTCATAAACTCTTTGGGCTCCTGAAGATGGGGTTGAAGGTGCACATGGCCTTGCTTGCCCCTGCATGATTTCACTCCAGCTGCCTTTCCTAGAGCTGGAGCCACGCCCACAGCTTGCCTGTGAGGGCCTCCCCATTAGCCCTTAAGAACACACGGTCTCTAGTGCCCATCATGGCACTGAGGGTCATGCTCTCCATCTGGATGGAACTGAGAACACATGGAGGCTGGTCAGGAAGCAGGTATGTAGTTCACATTGCAAGGGGAGACACAGGCCAAGGTGGAGGCTGGCCAAGCTCCCCAGAGGCAGGCAGAAGTGAAGCAAAGGCAGGTCAGGGTCTGATGGATGCTAACTGCAGCCGAAGAGATCCATTCTGACCAGGCGAGTCCTCAGACAAACCGGGGCTCAGTGCTGATGAGGGAGGGAAGACTCCGGGAGCAAGGCCAGCATGCAACTTATCCAGAGAAACCTGGCAGTCTGGCCAGGCTGCTGGAGAATAAGAAATCATATGGAGCAGAGAAGAGATGTCTTGGGCAAGTCTGTCCTGGATAAAGCACCCAGGAGACCAGCCCGCTATCTGGGGACACATGAGCAAGCTCAGCTCAGATCATCTGAGCCTGGCCCATCCCAGAAGAACTGCCTAGTCGATTCAGAAATTTATGAGTAAACAATAAGTGCTTATTTGTTTTCAGCTCCTGAGTTTTGGGGTGATTTGTTATGTCACAATAGCTAACTGATACAGAAGAGGTTGATGGCCAGTAACGACTCCTATTTCACTGTAGCAAGTCTCTGCTGAAATTACAATCCTGTTTCCCGGTTTGAGTCCTCTCCAGGTTCAGATCACTGGACTGGGATCATGAGCTTGAGATATATTCTTGAACTTGACTTTACAAGGCTATCGGTGATATGATGAAAACTTTCTCCCCAATCTGGACCTGTTTCCTTATCTGAAAAATGAGGAGTTAGACACTTCCAGGGAGCCTTCTGCTTGGGTGACTCTGACCTCTTCATTCAGCTGTTCTGTCATCTAATCAACAGATATTTGTTCAGAGCCTGCTGTGTGCCTGTCTATGGCCAGGATCTGGGATGCAGGCTCAGACCACAAGATGTGGGCCCTGTCCACCAAGTGCAAGGGGAGCTCCCTGTCTTGTGAGTATAGAGAAGACGCCTCTGGATGGCCAAGGAGGCTGTGAGTGGGGGCAGTGGGCAAGATCGTGGTCATCCTTCTCCAGCAGAGAGAGGGGAATGAATGCACATTCAGAATCCCTGGCGCCTCCAGTCTCCTGGACTCCTGCTCGGAGATGTTTGCCTTGGTCCCTAAGGCCTTGATGAACGCCACTCAGCATTTCAGCTCATGCCCTGGGGAAATCAAACTCTGCCTTGAGCTCAGCACATTCAATGAGCAAACAGAGGGCAGCCATGGGACCTGTCTCCATGCCACTGTCCCCCAGGTGACCCAGGAGAGCTGATCCTTAACGCTGGGAGACTGGCCAGTCTCTGTGGGGGCAGCGCGAAAGTAGCCAAGTCCAAAGTCCTCCACTGCCCCTGATGACAACAGTCCCTCAGGACCTCCTCCCAACCCTGGAGAGAGGCAGACAGGTGGAAACTGTCTGCCCCAGGGAGCCGGAAAGCCATCCTACCATGGAACCAGGGGGCGATGGACTCAGTGTTCCTCTCAAAGCCAGCTCTGCGAGGCAGCTGCTCCTCCTTAAACCAGCGGACTATGACTTCTCTGGAGACAGGTCTCAGTGGGCGCTCCCAGGTCCTGCTGAGAAGAGAGACGGAAGTGTGGAGAGTCGGGGAGGGAGGGGAGGGGAATGGGAGGAGAGGGGAAGGGAGGGGAGGGGAAGGGAGGGGAGGGAAGGCCACTGTGAGAATGAATCAGCACAGTGCCCACACTCATGCCTGTGGAGTGAATTAAATGAGTCCAGGTGCATGAAGGCACTTTGCAGATAATAATGCACCAACTACTATTATTTTTCCCAAAAGAGCACTGTTATCGCTTGCTTCCAAAAAAGCCACACAGATGGGAATGGAAAAGAGAAGAGGAGGGGGTGTTTGAGGGAGAGAAAAGGCATTTTTTTTCCCCTCTAGAATTGCAGAGCACGAACATCAGCATCCATGAAGGAAGACCCTCGTGTACCAGGAGCGGCAGACCCACGCACCCAGAGAGGCCAGCCACCAGCCTCCCTCCCAGCGTGGCCCGTGTGTAAAATGAACGTCTACAGTGTTATTCATTAAGGGCACTGCTGGTCATAACCAAGGATTTCAAACAACTCCAATGTTCATTAACAGAGTTTTTGATAAATAATTTCTAGCACATCTGCGGAGTGAACATGATGCAGTTATAAAAAAGGAAACTAAGCCAGGGTGGCTGGCTGGCTCAGTCAGTGGAGCATGGGACGCTTGATCTCGGGAAGTGAGTTCGAGTCCCACATCAGGTGTAGAGATTACTTAAAAAGAAAATCTTAAAAAAAAAAAAAAAAAACTAAATAGGGAGCCTGGGTGGCTCAGTCGTTAAGCATCTGCCTTCGGCTCAGGTCATGATCCTGGGGTCCTGGGATCAAGCCCCACATCGGGCTCCCTGCTCAGCGGGAAGCCTGCTTCTCCCTCTCCCACTCCTCCTGCTTGGTTCTCTCTCTCACTGTGTCTCTATCTGTCAAAAAAAAAAAAAACTAAATAAAAATAAATGACTAGCTAAGAATTGATATGAAAAGACCTCCAAAATATAGTTAAATGGAAATAAAAGTCAAGATGCAGAGCCATGTGTATAGTATGCAACCTTTTCTAAAAAAAACAAAAAAACAAAAAAACAAAAACAAAAACAAAAACACAAGACAGGGCTACGACTTTTCAGGTCATCAACTACACAAAGGAACTGGGGGGGTGGTGCACAAAAACACTGAGGACAGTGCTCCCCTACAGGGCCGGGGAGAACTAAGTAGGTGGAGGTAGGAATGGAAGGCAACCATTTTCCATATTTCTTTTTAAACTTCGTGGTTTGTGAATCATATAAATGACAAGGAAGGAAGGGAGGGAGGGAGGGAAGGAGGGAGGGAGGAAGAGAAGAAAGGAAGGAAGAAATGCAGGTATGGTCAGCCCTCTCTAGCGCGCAGGGAGAGGGAGAAGGGAGTTATGAATAATCCTAAATCCCAATTAAAGTAAAACTCAGAACGTACTCTTCTACAGGTTAACCATGGTTCAGGGACCCAGCAGGCACTCACCACGCACCCTCATGGGGCAGTAGTTACTCAGCAAGGATGGAGGTGTGGGGCACCAACCTTGGGGCTGGCCTAAGGTGGGCACAGGCGGAAAGTGGAAAGGCTCCAGGCAACCTCTTGACCTTGGGTTCTGGCAATGATGGGCAGTCACCTAAGTGCCCCTGCCAAGCCACTCCAGAGACACCAGTGTGTGTGAGGACCCTCAGGACTCAACCACGCTCATCTGCAAACCTGTTATCAGAACCAGGGATGCACCAGCACTACCTGTGGTTAGAAAAAGCAGCCAGCCCTGGTTTCCAAGCAGCTGGGCCATATTTAACCCATTTGAGGTCTTATATTACAAGTTCTTGGGGTGTGTGGACGTTTAAGAGCTTGAAATTATATGCAAACATTTTTGGGTATTTTCATATGCACATCTTGGAGGGAAGAGGGTGCACAGCTTTCTTTAGATTCTCAAAAGAATTCTAGACCCCAAAATGTTAAGACTCCCAGAACTCTGGGGCTATTAGAAATCTCCAACCAGGAGCACTGGGTGTTATGCACAAACAATGAATCATGGAACACTACATCAAAAACTAATGATGTAATGTATGGTGATTAACATAACAGTAAAAAATTAAAAAAAAAAGAAATCTCCAACCAGACTCCTCACTGCCCTGCTCTGGCCCCATTACACAGACTTGAACACTGAGGCCCACGGCGGGGAAATGACTAGCTCCAAATTTCATAGCTGTTGGAGCAGAGCAGGGACTGGATCCCCCAGCCACGCTGCATTCGCAGAGTCCCCCAGACCCACCTGACAGGTATGGCGAGGGGTGGCGGAAGCCCGGGGCCTGGGAGGTGGTGGTAGAGTCTGGCCTCCTGCTCGCGGCTCTGGCCAAGCTCTTGGAACATGGAACTGAGGCCGGCGACCGTGCCCTTCTGGATGGCGCGGAGGGAGTGGCGCCGGTACTCGTCCCTGGCGCGCTGAGCTCGGCAGCTCCTCTCTTCGTCCGCGGCCTTGGACCTGCGCACTGGAAAGGGGTGGAGAGCATGTTCACCCAGACCCACAGCCCAGGCCATACACCCAGCAAGGCAGGACTGGGCCCGGAGACCCGGGACTCACCCAGAGTCTCATAATTCACCTGGATTCACCTACATGGGCTACATGGAGGTTCAGAGCCCAGGAATGGCAGGGCCAGCCCAGCTCCGGCCAGCAGCTCTGGGCTTGCCTGTCACCGTGGAGGTAGAGACACTCATGACAGTTGAGGGTCATCTGCCTGTTCCTGCAGCCCTGGTCCAGAACGTGCAAGCAACCTTTGGATGGAAATATACATCTCTATATGTATTTCTTTCTGGGAGTACCATGTGCCCACCTGCCAGCCTCAAGGGCACCTGGACAGGTGCCCAGCATCTCCAAATACCACTGCCATCCCCCATATTGACTCTAGGCTTTCTCTGTGCCACACCCTTGTTCCACGCTTTCCCTGCAACATCTCGTTACAGATGATTCCCCCAACCACCCAGGGTGGAGGGCCCATCACTGTTTCTACATCAGAAACTCAGCCTCCCGAAAGTTACAAAACTTGCCCCCAAATAAATAGCTAACAAGGGGCAGAGCCAGCGTTGGAAACCAAGTGTGGCTGTCTCTAAAACCTATGCAGCCATTCCTACCACCTGCACCCTACCTCTGAAGCTCCCTTCCTTTGAAATCCAGGTGTGCCTGACACCAGAGCCCCTGCTTCTTCCTACAAAAAGTCAAAAGAGCATTTAAGACCCTCCATCCAACCTCCTCATGCTGCTCATGTGGAATCTGAGGCAGGAGGAAGGACAGTAACTTGACCAGCTGGAGCAATGGCCAAGCCAAGCCTGGAGCCATCCTTCCGGCTACCACAGGCTGAGTTGTTGGAAACCCTGGTGTCCTGGTTCTGGTGCCCTTTCTCTGGTTTGCAGTGGCCCTGACACTGGGTGAGTGTGTTGGAGAGAGAGGATCCTCTGGTAGCTCTGTCACTCGCAGACCACAAACTCCAGATGCCCCTCTCTCCAGCCTTCCAGCTTTCTGTGTTTCCCAAGGCAGGGCCTGGTCTCAGCCAAGTGGCCTGGGAAAGACATCCGTGTGCTGCTGCTTCTAAAACTCAAAAGGGAGTCCTGGAACTGGGGAAATGACAAGAGAGGGAACACAACCTGTTGGAGGCAAGGTCTCAAATTAACACCAATTCTTTTGCAGTCTGATTGCATCTCGTCAGGCCCCTATCTGCCTCTAAAATCTAATTCTTTTTGTAGAGAACTCTTGGAGCTGGACATGTTCTAACAGTGCGTGACTGGTGAGTGCGCGGGCCCGGTCCTGGAGTCAACTCTTACCCAGAGTCTGTTCCTGCTCCAGCTCCATTCCACACATGTGTCGCAAACACCTACAACCGACCAACATCAGAGAACTGCATTCTGTCAGTGTTTGGGAGGATACAAGGTAAATAGCCCGTCCTGAAAGAGAGCACTTTTACCTCTCACGTTATCAAAGACCTTGTCTTATAATAGAACATTTCCCCAGATATGAGGAAGGCAGCATAAAGTCTGTCCCTCAGAAAGATTTATGGAAGTGGAGGTCACATGCAGAGCCTCCAGTAGGCTGAGCCCCCCAAGGGCAGGTGGGGGACTTGCTCTGCTTTGTTCATGGCTATATCCCAGGGCCTGCATACACAGGTGTCAGTGAACAGACAATGCCTATTCTTGGATGACTGTGCCCAATCAAGTATTTAACTCTGAGCTGGGTGCAGACATAACAAAGACCAGACCCTTCCTTCAAGGCACTCAGAGCCTGCCTGGGAAAATAAGACAAATACCTCTAACACAATGAAATCTGGGACAGATAAAAGTACTGTCAGGGTTTAGGGGCAGCAGCTCTCATATTCTGTGAGGGAGCCAACAGCCATCCCAGGAGAGGAAGCATCTGGAAAGGTCAGTAGGAGTTTTCAAGAGAAAAGAAGCCATCCCAGGGAGAAACCTAGGTTTGATGCCCAGCTGGTTCATCTGTATGTTCCAGACACTAAGAACACCATAACGCCTGCCCTGCATTGCCATGGGAGGGTCAAAGATAAGACCAGGATTGCCCGGGCGTGAGCTCTGCTGCCACTAGCCAGCAAACTAAACATGGAAGCTGGTGACCTACAAAAGCCGGTGACCTTTGAGAGTTTACAGCCGCTGAAAGACAGTGACACTCTGACAGGTAGCAAAAGGAAGTCATAGGCAAACTAGGAAGACAGGCTGTTGGAACTCAGCCAGCTGAGGCCCTGAGCCATCAGACACACAGAGACCAAACCCAGCCTCCTAAAGGCCAGCTCTAATCTGGCCATTCTCTTCCTCAAACGCCTTCAGGGGCTCCCACTGCACACAGGATAAAGGATAGCACCCCTCTCTCCCAGACCTTAAGAAGTGTCCTGCCTGCCCCACCTTTTCCCCCAGTCCAATGGCTTCTGAGCTCCTCCCCACTCTGCCGTCTGGTTCCACCGTGCTCCCCACGCTCGGCGGACTCTCCCCTGTGCGGCTGTGCTCAGCCACCCAGACCCGCTGTGACGAGCAGGCAGCCAGGGCAGCCAGAAGGGCCAAGCACTGACGTCTCCCGGGGATGAGCAAGTGGCCGAGGCTGAGAGCAGGAAGCAAGCGGGGGCTCTGCCGTGGCCTTGGCCAAGCCTACCTGCTGCCCAGCCACACACGCGCATGCTCTTTAGCCACTTATCCCATGCAGACCCTGAGGTGGTTTCCATATCTCGGCCACTGTGAATGATGCCGCAATGCCCGTGGGAGTGCAGGTTATCTCTCCAGTAGCCTGCTTTTTTTTTTTTTTAACAATTTCAAATAATTTATTAAGGAAAAAATCTCAATTGCTTATTGATTTTCAATCCAAAGTTAAAAAAAAAACATGAAATGGTGAAAATTATTCTTGATTAGAATTTGATGGCCAGATGCCACTCCTGGCTCTGTCAAAGAGTTTTGGCCAGGTCAGTTAGCTTCCTTATGCTTTTTTTTTTTTTTTATTGTTATGTTAATCACCATACATTACATCATTAGTTTTTGATGTAGTGTTCCATGATTCATTGTTTGTGCATAACACCCAGTGCTCCACGCAGAACGTGCCCTCTTTAATACCCATCACCAGGCTAACCCATCCCCCCACCCTCCTCCCCTCTAGAACCCTCAGTTTGTTTTTCAGAGTCCATCGTCTCTCATGGTTCGTCTCCCCCTCCGATTTCCCCCCCTTCATTTTTCCCCTCCTGCTATCTTCTTTTTTTTTTCTTAACCTATATTGCATTATTTGTTTCAGAGGTACAGATCTGTGATTCAACAGTCTTGCACAATTCACAGTGCTCACCATAGCACATACCCTCCCCAGTGTCTATCACCCAGCCACCCATCCCTCCCTCCCCCCACCACTCCAGCAACCCTCAGTTTGTTTCCTGAGATTAAGAATTCCTCATATCAGTGAGGTCATATGATACATGTCTTTCTCTGATTGACTTATTTCGTCCAGTAGCCTGCTTTCATTTCCTTCGGCTAGATACTCAGAAGTGGGGTTGCTGGATCATAGGGTAGTTCTACTTTTAATTTTCTGAGGAAGCTTCATACTGTTTTCCACAGTGGCTGCACCAACTTACATTCCCACCAACAGCGCACACCGGGTCCCTTTCACGCACGTGCCTGCCACACGCCATCCAGCTTCCCTAGGAAAGTCCCTGAACGCCTCTAGGCCTCCGTTTCCACCTCGGGCAAAATGAGAATGACACAAATGTCTGCCTCACAGAGTGGTCATGAAGGGTAAATGGAAAATAAAAACATATGAAGTATTCTGGAAAGGCAGTGTCTTATTTGATCAGGCCCCTGACGTTGATCCTTTCTTCAAATGCCCCAAAGCCTGGGTCTGGAGCCCGGCTGCCTAGATTCAGATCCCAGCTCCACGTTCCAGCTGTGTGACGCTGGACAAGCTGCTTCATTACCCTGGGCCTGCATTTCCTCTTACGTAAAATGGACACAACGGTAGTCCCTACCTCATAAAGATGTCGTGAGGCTTGAGAGAGCTAATAGTGTTCACTTAAAACCATGTCAGGGACATATTAAGCACCATGGTTAAGTGTTAAAATTTTTCCTTTTTTTTTTAAACAATTTTTTTTAGGATTTTATTTATTTATTTGAGACAGACAGAGAGAGAGAGAGAGCTACAGAGAGAGAGAGAGCATGAGCAGAGGGAGAAGCAGAGACAGAGGGAGAAGCAGGCTCCCCACTGAGCCAGGAGACCGATGTGGGGCTCGATCCCAGGACGCTGGGATCATGACCTGAGCAGAAGGCAGACACTTAACCATCTGAGCCACCCAGGCGCCCCTAAAATTTTCCTTTCCATTAGCCCTGGTATTGCCAAGTCCAAACCAGAGTTCATGGCCAGTCCAGGACGAGACATCCTTGCTGGTCGATCACAGGGAATCTGCTCTGGGTCAAGCAGCTTACCCTAAATTGCAAGTTGAAATCTTAAAAGGTTGCTTTAGTTCCTTGTCAGAATCAGGGATTCAGACTGTATCCCGTGAATCTGCCGCGAAAACCCTCAGCCAAAACTCACAGGGTTTCTTCCTTCTCACCCAGTGAAAATAACCAAAACTCAGAGGAGGAGCCACATTAGGAGCAGCCACAAGCATCTATTGCCCTGAGCCACCAAGGGTCAGCCTCTCCACATGGCCCGGCGGACCCCCTGGCGGAGGTGAAGACCCACACTGAGTCACCTGCTCCCTCCCCCCGCCACACTCTGGCCCGAGATGATGCCCCACTGGCCTGTCCAGCAGACAGTGAGAGGGCCTGCACTGCACACAGGACAAAGGGTGAGCATGGCCACCCCAACTTCTGAGGCAGGATCCAGAGCCTCCTCTCTCCTGCTTGTGGGAGATTGAGACTCATCTCCCAGTAACACCATAAAGACAGCTGGGACTGCGGGAACACACTGAAGACTTCAGAAGCAAGGCTGACTTGAGAGATCCAACAGTGGACCAAGCACAGT